TGAAAATGTACATTATATTTATTTACTTTCATTAATTTTATTGAAGTGAGCACATCCTTTCCAGTCTTCCAAAGCCTGATTTGTTGGATGTTTCAGGATTGTTTCCACTGTTTGCAATATGGTCTCTCATACTAACATTTCATACTATCAGATATTTCATCGTTGCTGTTTTAGCATATTGTGCTTGACCCATGGCAGCTTTGAATGCAAATAACAAACAAGCTGATGCACAATGCTTGGCTGTTAAACTGAAATAATATGGCAAGGCTAAACTGGGTTTCATTTTTCCTTTTGAATATTATTAATTGCAAAGTGTTGACTGTTAATTTAATTAAATGTTTTGTTTTAATATAAAACCATTTTTCAGTTCACTGACTCACTATTTCATTTAATTAATTGCAAACCTCAAGATTTGATTACTCATAGTTCTCCTTTAGTTAATTTACTTGTTCACAGTTTTGACAGAAAAGCTTTCAAACTAATATGAAGGAGGGGCACAGTCTGACTAATAAGGAAACTGGAAAAAATAGCTGTAGCAGGAGTATGAGATTAGCAGATACTCAGGGTCACCTAAAAAACTTCAGAGTCCTTGTATTCACCATCAAAATCCAATTTTCAGTGGCCAGATATTAGTTAAATTTGGAGGGTTCACTTGCATGCAAGACACTGTAGGTACCTCAGTGTAGGGATGGAATTGAGTTTTGGTTTTTTATGTCTCCAGGAAGGTATTTGCTAATGAGTAAATTGTGATGTTACTGGAGGCAAGATGCACTTGTAACCTGGTTCAGCACTGCCCTGTAACGGGGGACTGGCCTTGAGGGGGACATTGCAAATGGCCTGGAGTTGGTGTGATCTTTGGGCCATGCAGTAAAAATGCTGCTTCTGTTGAAATAGTTCTTGAGACTTCCCAGAGGAATAACCTTCAGTAGTCTGTGTGTCTGTGTAGGGGATGTCTGAGTAAACAATTAACCAGTGGCTTTAATGGGATCCAGACAGGGGATGGAGAAGCCTCTCTGGTGGTACCCTTTCAGGTGCCACAGGGGCCGTGGCTGTAGGAGCAGAGGATGTGCTCAGTGGGTCCAGGAGCAGCCAGAACCTCACAGAACATTCAGATCTGTTCCATCTCCAACACCCATAAGCCCTGAGTTCTCCCCAGAGCAATGCCATTGCCGTGTTGAGTCAGCTGAGCGTGGCTCTCATTTGCATCCAGCTCCCTTGTTTGAGAACTCTTTGGTTCTTAGGCCTGTTTTAACTGTGGCTCAGAATACGACTGCAGAATTTTGCCTGTGCCTGAAGCGTGCTGCTTTGTGTGTCCTTGAGGGGTCATTTGGGGGCTGAACTGGTGTGTTGTGCAGCAGAGTTCTGCAGACTCGTCAGAGGCAGAGTACACAGTGTCCTGACCAAAGTCACAGGAAGAAGGTTACTAATGGCAGCTGGTTGTTCTGCCATATGCAAGGTGGTGCAGGTGTAGCTGACCACCACAAGCTGTTATGCAATTGTAATCAAGATTCACGTGCAGGGAGCTGACCCTGAACACTGCTCCCAGATTTCGGCGTGGGTGCGGCCGTGTCCCTCTCAGAGATCCCACCAGCTCTCCAAGGAGCTGCTGTGTTCCCGCCAAGGCAGCTGGGGGGTTCTGGGCTACTGGTGGCAGTTCTGCAGAGAAACCATTTCAGTTGTGCTGAGACTCTTCCTGTGTTGTTGTTGCATTTAAAGGCTGTACGTGTTTGATAATAAACGGGCCACAGTTTATTTCCTGGGCGTTCAGTGATTGATCACAGCTGGCAAAAGATAACTGAAGGAAGGAAAATTTCGAGTGTAAATGGAGAGGGAAAAATGGGAGCTTTGAAGTATGTGATCCAGCATGTCGGTTTTCCTAGTGATCCTTTCATTTTGGAGGGAAGTAGAGGGATAGATGTATACGTTACAGCAGTTTTCCAGGACATTTTTCAAAGTGAGGTGCTCTCAGTGAGATCCTGCTGCTGATAATGATTCATCTGAGAGGATAGAAATGATTCTTCAGTTCTTTGTAGGTCCTTAGATAAGTCAGTTGAAGAATAGCCCTCTTTGCTACAGCTAGCCTGAGCTGAGTCAATTAAAGAAGGGAGTTTTATTAATAGTTAAATAATAGCTTCAGTAACGTTAGCCATGGCAGTACCTTAATTGAAGACTTTGCCAATGGGCAATTTGCTGCACGTTTTCTTCCATCATTTCAATCAGTGGCACCCCCTTACTGCTGAAACCATTTCCTTTAGCCTCAGTTTTATTATCCTTCAGAAATGCTGAAGAATTAATGCGTTGTTATTACAATGCCTCATACAAGCGCATTTTGGGGCTTCTGCTGCTATCAGAGTTCAAATAAGAAGTTATACAGACTGGGGAGTGGTGAGTGAGGGCATAAAGACTTTGCTGACACTGAGCTGAGGGATAATCTTGGCTGGATCTGCTTCAAGGCTGTGCAGGATCTTCAGTGCTCTCTACACTAGGACCGTGCTTTACTCTTTAAACTTTTAATGCTGAAGTGGAGTGACTTTGGTGTGGCAGATGGCACAGCACAGTTTTCTGATCCATCACTGTGTTTTGGCTGGTGTCCTTATGGCAGCTGTGTCTGGTTAGGGAGCTCAGAAACGCCTGACAATAATTACCTTTAATTTCTGCAGGCGGCAGCGTGGTGGTTTTGGGACTGTGTTTATTATTTTCTGTTTGTTCCTTGGTACCCTTTCTGCCTTTGTTACGCTTCTGTACAACTGTTCAGAAGGTTTTTGGGGATTTTTATGCTGTTGTTGTTGGGGTTTTGTTTTTGGTTTTTTTCCCCTTTTTTAAATACAGTGCCCTGTATCATTTTTTCTAGTCTTTTCTCTGAACATTTTACTGAAGGTATGAATTTATATTCCCTGTCTGTCTCCTTATGAATAGCTTCTTTACTATTTTGTGTAATTAAACTAATGAAATTTTATGCCTTATAGTCCATACCAAGAACCTGTATAAATAGTGACCCTGATGAAAATCCTTACTGGGATATTGGTTCCTCGATACATTCCTGGGTACATGAAAGTGATAAAAAGGTGTAATAAAGAACTCCCTGCTCAGGCCTATATTTTTATAACCATCAAAAGGAATATGATTTTTTTGGTAAATAGATGAGAAATATAAAGTAAAAAGAGGTTGCTGTGGGTGGGTACAAGTTTCTGAAAACGTTTTAGTGATGGCTGTACCTCAAAACTTGGAATTGGTTGGATGAGGAGGAAAAGGTTGGAAAAGCAGGCAGGTGCCTGGAAATCCTGAAGGCAGTAATTTCCTCAGAAGAGTTGGTCTGATTCTTGGTTTTTTTGAACTTCCTGAAAATCGTGTGAAATTCACTCAGAGAGCAATCCCACTTCCTTTCCCTAGGAAAAAAAGTGGAAGTTTATAGACTATTTCATCTTCTCCGGAAACTGTGTGAAGAGTTTTATCATTGAAGATTTATTCTGTGATGGATTAAGTGTGAGTGATGTCAGAATTTGTAAAAACAGGAGTTTAAACATCGGCATTTTATACCTGCTGGATAAAAAAACCTGTAACATTTGCAGAACTCTACAGGCTGTTATAAAGAAAATTATTTTAAAATAAAAAGTGGGTGCTATTACAGTGCAGTGACCTTCTGTACCAAGTGATTAAAGGGCCTAAAAGACAAAATTATTGATGATGTTTTCTGGACTCACATTTTTGTATTTAGTGTATATTAATAATGAAATTAACTTTTGTGAAGCTCATTAAAGGAGCAGCTGAGCTAATCTGAGTGTCAAATTCAGCTGCTTTTAGAAGACTTTTAATTTGTGGATGTGTGGTTGTATAGGATGTGAACATTTTGAGTTCCCTTTCATCAGTGTCTAATCTGTCAGTAAGCAAATACTTCCCAGAAACAGATTATTTCATTGTGGTTGGATGTGTGATATCTTTGTGGGCACACAAATGAAATTCCTGGGTTTTTGGGGAATGCAGTTCAGTGATTTTGTGGAACCATGCCATGCTATACAGGAGGAAGCCAGTAAACTCATTAATCCATATCTGAATGAATAAACAGTTATACCTGTGGAGATCTTTTTGGTTAAGGGTTTGCATACCCTGAATTTTCCTACGAGGTAGATGAATTCAGAGGAGGGATTTTCAGTCACATCTTTCTCAGAGTAAAAGCAATTTGATACTGTGTGGAAGAAAATTGGATCTTTTACTTACTGACCAAGTCAAAATGATAAAAAACGTTGCTCTTATGAAAAAAAAGATACTGGGAATCTAAATAAAACTAATTATGATAATTATGGAGACCTGTAGCCTGACACTGCTCTATTTCTTCTCGTTTACTACAGGAAATAATTTAGTTTTTAGTCACTTGAAAATCTCCTAACAATAACCCCCCTTAATTCTGGTCTTAATGGTCTCTTAAAAATGGGATTGAGTTTGTACTTAGCCATATTGTATTTTTTTACACATTTCCAATGTGATATTTTCCTGTAACAATAATGTTAATCTAAACCAAGAGACTTCTGAAAGAAACAAAATAATATTTGGATATATAATGTAATAGTACAGCATTGATTGCTCCATGTTAATTGGCTTTGAACTGTTGAAATTAGGAAATACTGTATCTTTCTGTGTGTGTGGAAATTTTATAGCAGCTAAATAAGTCAACCAGAAAGTGATCAAAGTGACAAGGTGATCAAAGTGACAGGAAATTATATTTAAAAGTATAATCAAAAGGGATACCATTAAATAAATATTTCTTTATGTTAAAAAGAAATATAAACATGAAAGAATTTTTTTTTTTAAATCCTTAGAATGGTGTATTGAAGTAACTTGACTTTAAAATAAAGGCAGTGTTCAGGATAGCATTACATAACTGGACTAAGAATGTGCAGTGAATTTATGTGACTTTTTCCTCCTGAAAGGAGAGGTTTTGTTCAGGCTTTTCAGTGCCACAGTGTATGGTATGATACTGCATTTCATTTATTTGTCTTTTCCAGGTCTGACAGCGGCTGCCATGGCAGAGGCCATGAAGCTCCAGAAAATGAAACTCATGGCAATGAACAGCCTCCATGGAAGTGGGAGTCAGAATGGAACCGAGTCAGAGAACGAAGAGCTCAATTCTAATGCAGGTGAGGGATGCTCTGAACACCTGGGCTTGTGCTTGGGTAACAGAATCAAAAATCTGTCTCAAATTCTTGTGCTCTTTTGTTTTGTAAGCTCTGCTCTGCCTGTGTCAAAGCAAAATTCCTGCACCCGTTTGTCCAGTGTTCCTCCAGTTTCACTCCTAACAGATATCTTCATATTGGTGAAGGATTGTTTTCATTACTGATGTTCTAAACTGCCTCATAAATATATTTGTGGTAACAAAAGATTTCTCTATTGCCGATAGTAGAGTTATTTCCAGAGTTTTCCTGTAAATATCGGAAAGTTTCCAAAGCATCAGGTTGTTGTAATTCATTCTGAGTTCCACAGTTCACTGGAGAAAGGTAAAGTAGGGAGTGCTAAATCACCAACTTTCTGGCTTTCCTGCATTTTGTTCTTTCCTTGGGTGGATATTTGCAAAGCACAGCTGTGAAGGAGAGTTGTGATGAACCTTTGCTGTGGCCTGACTGGATCTGCTTGGGGGGAAGGCCCTGACACCCAACATGTGTTCAGGCTGTACCAGATAAGCATTAATGTAAATTGGAATGAAGTTCCCTGAGTCCCAGCTCCCCAGGAACAGGGTTCAAAGGTAAAATCAGAAATGGATCCTGTGAAGAGCAAATCTTTGTTTATTCTGAAGTCCTTTTCAGGTGAATAGAAGAGATTTTTACTTGGATAGTGAGAGAACCTGGAACAAGGCAGGTCCCTTTTGTCTCTGATACCTGTCACAATAAGGGCAATTTCCCTTGGTCTCACTTTGGTTTTGGCACAGATGATGCTCTGGTACACTACCATTCATGGTTTGTTCTCATTATCAATTGAAGAGAAGAGGCATTGTGTGATCCCCCGTCACATCCCGCTCTCCCGTCGGCATTCCCGCGTCTCCCAAGGCAGAGCCTGCCTGGTGTGTGGTGTATACCCATCGTGCCATCAGAATGGTAATTTATTAGACCAATAAAGCAGCAGCTGGGAGGTCTTAGACTCATTTTCTAAAGGAATAACTTTGAATTCATGACAAATTATGCACAAAGCAGTCTTTCCAAAAGTGGTGTTGCCTTTTGCTAATTTTGTGTACTCATCTGTATTGAAGAAATCTGGCTTCTACCTCCTGCATTAAACCTTTCCCCAGCTTTCTGTTCTGCAGGATATGTGTTTCTTATTCCCCTCTCGGACCCTAATCAATTAGTGCATATTGAATTCAGAAAAAAAAACCACTGAAAAAGCATATTTAGCTTCTGTGACTCCATATACACATACTCTTGTATGTAGTTCAGAATGAATTCTGAATTTTCACTGAGTGCTAAGAAATAGGACTGAAGATAGAATTCCTACAGAAGAGCAAGGAAGCTTCACACTGAAAAGATGTAGGGTTGGTATTAGGGATTTAAAAGCTGCTGTACAAAAGTTTGCTGATGTCAATGTTCATGGGTTTGTGTGTTACCTGGTACAGCAAAATTTGTGCCCTTCGTGTGGGGAGAGTCTACATTAATGTGATTATTTTAGGTATTGAGAATTTTTTTGAGGAACTCTCCTGCCATCCTTTGGACAGTGATCAAGGGTGTACATGTTACTGGGGAGCTCTCTGTGCTTTTTAGCAATTCAGTGAGTTCTACAACCAGCTCAATGCCAGTTTAAATATTTGGAGAAATCCCCACTGACTTTCACTGAAGCTGCAGAGGGCCCAAGGATAAGGGTGTGGGAGCAGTTATGTAAAGACCTTTTCTCAATTCTTTCCCCTTTTCATTGCCTAATTCAGTAAAATTGCCAAGAGCAAATTTGCTGGCTCAAGTATCAGTGTTGCTTTGCAGACAGAGAAAGAAATCCTTATTAGAAAGAACTAATGCTAAGCATACTAAAAATCAGACTTTTCCCTCTTTTTAGTATCCTCAGTGCCAGCATTAGGCTCATTTTGGTAATGTGTGGGTTAGAGGGTCATATTTTAAAGATTTGCTTTAAGCAGGTACAGCAGGATGTGGCAAAAAGGAAAACCAACATGAAAGGGATGTAGAAGTCTACTATACATTTCACCATAGAAAATAACTAAGGAATTATCAAACATTCATTGCAGAAAACCCCTGGGGGTCTGAGGTGGGGCATGAAGAGTGGGAATTTCGTTTAGAAGTTCATACACACGTTGTAACTTTGATCTGCTGTGAAGGGAACACCAGGATAATTGTGTGTGCATGAAACCTTCACCAACTGTTTGTTTTGCTCTAGACTTACAGTTTAAATGGCTATTAAAAACAAATGGGGATGTGAAATGAGAAAGAAAATTGAATTTTGAATTTTTTTTTTTACCAAGAAGAGGTAAAAAGGAACAGAGCAAAGGAGTCAGAAGCCTCATAAGTGAGAAAAACATTTTATTTTAGGAGAGAGACCTACAGTTTCTTTGATTTGAGGTTGTGTTTAATAGCTTCTGTAATGGCTGCAACATGACTCTGCATCTAGATTTCAGCATGAATAACAACCTGTTCGTGTTTCATTTAGCTCCAAATGAGAAATTCTGTCTTTTATTGTTTTAGGAAATTAGTCTGTGTACTATTGCTCCTGGAACTTTATAATTAATCACTAAAGGTTATGGCTGTGGAGAGTTTGTGGGAAATAGATGTCTGAATGATTATAATTGTAACTGTCAAATCAGAAATATAGTTATATAGAGTGGAGGACCTTTTGTTTCCTTTGTTTTTTTTTCTTTTTACTGTAACAAAGACTTGAAGGGTTGTGCAATTTTACTTAAAAAAACCACAACTATAGAGATTGTTGGTTTTTTACCTTAGTGCTACATGTTGACTTCCTACAACGCCACTAAATATTTCACTTTAGGATATGTGCCTTCCTCCCCATCCCGTAGTCTGATAGATGAGTGGAATACTCTCTTTTTGCTGTTGTTTATTTTAAATTAAAAATGTAATTGAGCAGCATTAAGTCCTGAAGCTTTATTGCCAGATTTTTTGGAAGTGTGTCATTATATGCAGGTCATTAGTATAATAAAAAAATTGTTGAGGATGTCTTGGCATATTCATTTCAACCTCCATCTGTATCTGTTGAACTCAGTATGAAGTAATTTTGGGTGTGCTTCTTATTATTACCTAGACTGGTACTTTTATAGTTTCTTCCTTTGTGGGTGAATTTATGATGATGGAAATTCTTCCAGAATTTCTCTGTCTGAAGCCAAAATTCCTGCTGTCCATTCAAAATCTGAACTCTAACTCGATCTAACACAATCACTGCCTAATTCTTTAGATATTATGCTGTCCTCTAGGAAATTACAGGTGTGGAATTGAATCTTACAAGTGTGTCTGTGAAAGTGGGTAGTAAATGTGCCACTTCTTTCCCTGCTTCTAGTCCAGCTGGACTACCTACCTCCTTTTTGTGATGTTACAATAATCTCAGTAATGATGGAGCTTGGTGCTGGAATATTCTAAATAATATAAAAATACTACAAGAGATAATACTGAAAACGTGTGGGGGGGAATTTCCCAAAAAATTCATTTGCACGTATTTTTTAATCGAAGTAATGCTTTAGTTCACAGTGCTGTGAAGAATGTGAAGGATGTTGTTATACATTTGAGCATTGGTGTCCTCCTTCCACTCTCCCTGCAGAAGAGAAAGAGATTTTTTTTGCACCTTCCTACTCATCATATGAAGTGTTGAAGCAGAACTTCTCAGGCAGTTGAAAATCTCCTCTTTAATCTGACACTGTAGGTTCTCTGGCCCCACAGTCCAGCTGAGCTGTGCTGGCTGTTCCTGGTGGCTTTGGATCCCTTTCTGTTTCCTTGTGGGATCCTGGAGAGAAGGTTGAATTCTAAGAACCAGGTGGTTTGGGACATAGGTGGATGTGGGAGAAATTCATCCCTCTGAAATATCAGATTTCAAGTTGGACATAAATCTTACATGACCCTATTCCTTGTTTTTTGGCTACTTCAAATGAGTCCTTGGAGATGAGGTGGTTTTTTGGTGGCACCTGAGGTTGCCCTGAGTGCAGAGATTTGCCATAGCTAAGGCTGGTGACACATGCCAGGAGTGTTGTGGCCCTTCCTATTCCACTTGGGAAGTGAGTAAGATCAGGAGTGAGCAGCTGGCAGCTGCCTCCAGGTATTCTGGCTGTGTGTGCAGCTCTCAAAGCCCAGCCACGTAATCAATTTTGTTGTTCTATAGAAATGAGATACACAAAACAAAACCTCTCTGGTTGCACAAGAAGTGTTTGTAAAGATCACCTCTTTCATCATCATGCAATGCTAGAACTGGGTGAAGTGTATTCTGGAAATTACTGTATAATTGCACAGGGAAATTTGAAACTTATTTGAAATCAGAGCTTTTATTTTTAATAGCTTGGCAGCAGGTAATTTGTACAAGTGTGTGATAGGATAGATTGCAAAATACAGAGTTGGTGGCACTACCTGGACATCCTTTAAGCTGCAGGAGCAAGGCAGGATCAGTGCCTGGCAATCGTGACAGCAGCTGTTTGTACAGAACCTCCCAGCAAAGAATAAAGCAGGTATTTCCTTCTGGTGGCTTTTGGAGTTACCATGCATGATTTAAGAAATGTGTTTTGCTTTCCCCAGAGAGATATCAAACAGTACTAAGTGTTTCAGTGGTATTTCCTTAGGAAGTCAAAATGTTATTCTGCATGTAGAGTCTTGTTGCTTAATTTCCAGACAAGGAGCTAAGTTAGGCAGAAAAGAAAGGAAAAACACCCCAGCTTTTGGCATATGAGGATCAGAGAAAAAGCTCTCCGTAGGAAAAAAAGTGTTATCTTTTTATCCTTCTTTCCCTTCAGTACCTGCCATGCAGTTTTCTCACAAATGCAAACATCCTTCACAATCTGTTTAAAAAACCACAAATACATCACTCGGAGGAATATTTAAGGAACCATCAGGAGGGAAAAAACTCATTGGTTTAATGGAATGCTGTCAAGGAAAATCAGCATCACAAACGACACAGGGGCAGAATTGATACTTTTGCACTGACATGTTAAAAGAAAATC